CAAGCTTTTGATTCCGATCGTTCAGTTTGTATGGCAGCTATATACTATAGTAATCCGATCTGAACAATTTCTTCGCATATAATAGTATTATCTTAGAACATAATCTATACCAAATTTTGTGAATATATCTTGTCAAATGCGAAAGTTTTCCATAAAAGCCCTTGATTCCGATAGTTCAGTTTGTATGGCAGCTATATGTTATAATGGTCCGATATCGGCAGTTCCAACAAATGAGCAGCTCCTTGAAGAGGAAATCACGCTTGCAAAATTTCAAAACGATATCTTCGAAACTGAGGACTAGACAGACAGACAGACGGATAGACAGACGGATATGGCTAAATTGACTCAGCTCAACATATTGATCATTTGTAGATATACTTTATAGGATCTCTGACGCTTCCTTCGAGGTATTACAAACTTCGTGGCAAACTTAATATACCCTGTTCAGGGTATAAAAATTATCCAAATAATGGTAAAGGGATAAACGCCAAAAACGCACATTATTACCTTAAATTAAAAATATAATAAATATTTTTAATTTTTTTTTAAATCATGATTAGAAATTATACACATTAGGAAAATAATGATAAGTAAAAAATGTGCAGCAACAATTTAATTACAGAGAAAAAAGAAGTGGTAGAAAAAACGGATTAGAAAAGTTGGTGTACAATCTTTCCACATTTCAAATCACCGACTATAAATCTCAATTACCGCATCGAAATTTATTACATTTTGCTCCTCGTAAAATTTTATTAAACGCTAAAAATGAAAACACACTCATAACACACACCTAAAGCGACTAAAACAATCAAACTTTGAGAGATTAGCGCACAAATTGGGGCAATAAAATTCGAAACGCAATGCAAATTACATCATTCGAAGGCCGCACTTATTCGTACCACTTTCAATCAATTTCGCATCAACTTTCATAATCACAAATATTTTACGATTAGCGGAAAAGGAAAAGTTGACGAAAATTTTGTAGTTTGCGCACTCACTCATTCAGAAGTAAGTGGAGAGTAGAAATTTCCGCTTACTAAGCACACAACATAACATATAGTATTTAACGCTGCACAATGTAATTAAGGCAACAAAGCAGCTAACTGCAGGCGAATAAGCGCTAAACGCTTGCACATGCGCATAAACGATCGCTCAGTGGGACGGCGCACTAAATTAGTTTCTGCATTTCTTCTAAATACAGATTTCGTGATATCCTACTAGTGCTGATAGAATGGATGGGGTGCTGCTAAATCGCCCAACTGTGCCGCTATAAAATAATAACGGCAGTTATTTCAGCTGCCAATATGAATACCTCACTGGTGCATGCACTTTGTTGCCGCTGCGTTTGTAATTTGCGTTGTATGTTGTTGTTGTTTTTGATTTTCGTTTGCCACAGCATTTATTGCCTGCCGTGGCATGTTGCAGTAACTGTTTTATTACTCACTCCACGGCGACCACTGCCGAACATGCCGAAATGCTGACTTTGAACTTCGCTGTGCGCTACGGCCGCCAAGCTGGTGAAATGCTGGCGGCCAATGCTGCTTTTCATAAAAGTTAAGTTGGCGCTGCAACAGCTGTTTGGCTTGCAAATAAACGTCTAGCTGCATTTAGATCATAATGATTGTAAGGCATTTCGACTGGTTTACAATTTAAAGTGATCGCGTAACACTTTTAATTTGGGTGAAAGAAGGAAGCACCATTGGCGGTGCATGCGAATTTTCATCAAGAGGGGTGCTATTGTTATTTTTGTTATATTTCTGCGTACCATAGAGAACTATTTGGATCTTATAGCATTTTGTCAACTCTTCATATAGGTTATACTATACATTGGGACAAACAAGTATCCGAAAATTCTAAATAAAAAACCAAAATATTTCATTATTCGTTAATATTATTTTTATTAACTTCGAAGTAATCCCCACCAAATGAAATACACTTATGCCCACGATTTAGCGAATTTCGTTTTATCTCGTCAATCGACTGAAAACGGGTCTCACGGAGCGGCAGTTTCAGGTTGAGGAACTAGAAAAAGTCACACGGAGCCAAATCTGATGAATACGGTGATTGATGGATGGTATGCATTCCGTTTTGGGCTGCAAATTCGGTAGCAATCGTGGCACGATGCCATGGAGCACTATCCTTGTGTATAATCCAAGACTTGTTCTTTCACAGTTATAGCCGTTTTTGACGGATGCTCTTATTGCTTATTGACCGTCTGTCTCCCTTGATTCACCAAACCACGAATATTGGAAAAAATTATGAGCATCACCTTGATTTTTGAGCGGCACCGGCGTGATTTTTGATTTCGCCTCATTTTTTCCCCTCCATTCTGATGACTTTTAATTTGTTTCCATGTCAAAGTCGTAAAGCAAGGTCTCATCGGTAGTTTTTATGCTTTCCTTAAGTATGGGATCGGAATTAACATGATCAAGCATGTTCAAAGAGATCTGTTTATGGTACTCTGTCTGAAAAAAAAATGCAGCTAGCAAAAACGAGTTTCATTCCCAAAATATCCAACAAATACCTGCGAACGTCCTTGTGAGTGATGTCTAGCTCACTTACTATCTCTCTAATACTTAGTTGAAGATTTTCAAGCACCATATCTTTCACTTCTGTAATATTTTCATCAGTTGAATAGCTCGAAGGTTACTCAAAGCGAGATATGTTTCTAACGATTTAGCGATCATCTTGAAACCTTTTTACCACTCGTAGGCTTGGGTGTTTAATAAAACTGAATCACCGTAGCGGCAGGAAACTTTCCTGAACTAATTTGGAGGAATGGTGCCGAGTTAACTGTCCTCGGCCGAAAAACTCCGAGTGCACTCCGGTTATTTAGACCCAACTGTGGTCAGAATGTTCGGCAACGTATGGGAATACTTTGTAACACCCTTGAACTCAGTCTTCATATAGGGACGCTAATACTGATATCCTTAAAATATGTTTGTACTAAAAAATAGTCGGTGCTGATTCCTTTATATGTTTCCATATATAATATATTTAATGATGCTTCACCAAGATCTGCTTAGGAAAAAATAAAATATACAACTTCTGAATGGTTCCAAAACACTTGTTTTGGGTACCCTATCTATTTCGCGTCTTAAAAAATAGAAGACACAAAAATTTAAATAGGTCATAAACCCACTAACTCAAAGATCAGTTCTTGGTTTTGTCTCCACTAATATTGGTTTACAGTATACTCGATAAAAAACTGTTAAAAATTATTAGAGATACCTTTGATATTACTGATTCCTTCCATCATTTTATTCTTTGGAATTGCTGATAAACGTAAATGAAGTTTGCCAGGAAATTTGAAACACCCAAAGAGAAATGTCGGAAGCCCTATGACTAGTACTAATACACACCCGAACTAGTTCATATGTTTGTCGACCTCAAATTACCCACCCCTCCTTTTCTCCAAAAAAGTTGCTTATCTGACGGAACCACCAATGTCTTCTATAAGATATAGCTGTCATACAATCGAACCGATCTAGCTCAAGTCTTAGTATGGAAAACTTTTTTATTTAACAAAACAGATCCACAAACTCGGAAGAAATTGCTGAAATCGGCTTACTAATGCATATAGCTGTCATACAAACTCACCGAGCAGAATAAGTTTATGTATGAAAAAAGTTGTTTATTTAGCAATGAACTTTTACGAAATTTGGCACAGATTATTTTCCAAAGAAGCGCTGCAATTACGAACAAATTTTTGAGATCGGACTACTAAGGCAGCTATATGCCTTAAAGACAAAGATATTCATATTCATAATAAATCTTTTTAATGATGTTCAAATCGAACGTCGTGGCTAGAAAAACTAGTATACATTTAGCCAATTATACATAGTATATCTTTAACAAGTATGCCATACATAGTTTCTATAAGAAAGGTACATACTCCATTTGCCCTCTCAATGTACCGTTACATATATGTAATTTTGATATAAATCTTGTCATCACTTCGTTAATGAAGAGCAACCTCGACTAAGTCCCATAATGTTATTCCCATGAAAAAATTATGAATGAAGATAAATGGTTTGAAACCCAGCTAGAACAGTTGCAAATTGGTGTGCAAACAAACTACAAATTAAGCAAGCATTAAAATAAATCGGTAAACCGCAGCAAATGAACTCGTTGCTTAATTGGAATTAAATAATATTTTGACAGAAAAATGTGTACTAACAATATTGCATAATTTCTAGTCATTTGGCTCTTCTATGGCGCTCAAGTTCTTAATTATATTATTATTATTACAACACTGAATAAATAAACGCAACATTTCAAAGCACACTTAAATATTTCATAAACTTCACAAATTACGCAAATGCCCCTACTCTCCGCTACCACTGTGCCCCATAGCGACTACCTTTCGCTTTTAATTTTCCTTTCGAAGTGTGTATGTAAATACTCGCAGTAAGTAAGTTGACTTAAGCGCACAACAAAGGCAACAACTGCAAATACTTTCGCATTTTCAAGTACAACTGCTTATTCTCTCTGTGTTATCTTAAGACCATTTCCTGTACTCACCACCAGTACAAACACAAACACCATCATCATAATCACCACAGCCACCACTACCACCACCACCATCACCACCAGTACACCTTTCCTTTCGGCACGAAATTTGGCCTCATTTTCGTAATACCGTTAGCGCATTGGTGGCTGGTTCACCTGATTGCCTTTCTATGCCAGCCAGTTTGCTTGCAGTATTTTCTTTATTATTGATGAAAATTTGATGAAAATAAAAAAATTGGAGAAATAAACGAAATTGTGTAATAATCGAATTGTACATCCGTCGGTGGACTGCCAGCAGATAACGCAAGTGCACATTAGCTGCAGCGCTGGTCCGTCGTCTATGCACTCGTTTCATTTACGGCCTCTCGGCGTTGGCACAGGTGGAAATCATATAAAATCAAATGCAGTTTCGGGTTTAAGCACATTCGCTTTGTTACACAATCGGCGTCAAGGTCGCTTTGGCAGCAAGAGGAAACATATAGTGATATCAAGGAACAGCAATTCCTTTAGGCGTTCACCAAACATAAGAATTTGTATAAAGGATACTAAGGTTACCAGCATACAAAAGAAATTGAATATGACAACCATCATTGGAAGCTTGGTGAGTTTAACGATACTGTGGTGCATTTGCATACAGACTGCAAAGTGTTGGTGTAATTAAGCGACACGCAAGTGAGAATTATATGAGGTTTGCGAAAGGCTCACGGAAAACTCATGTGTGAGATATCTACGAAATATAAGAGGAAATAGTTTTTGAGTAGTAAAAAATTATATGAAGGTGCAAAAAAGTGAGTTAGCAAGGAATTTTCAAACAGATTGGAAACTTCGCCAAAGTAATGTTACCTATCATCTCATATTAAAGTGTGAATCGAAGTTGAAACATGGCTGGTGTATCCAAAATCAAAAAAAAATTGTGTTTTGAAGCTAAAAAGGTAAACTATCTGACAACAAGAACATAGTTAGTTACTTCATTTCTGATATTTCGAAAATCAGTGATGTAGTTCGAAAACAATTTTAATTTTTTTAGTTAGAAAAACTTTTCTGCTCTCTCAACCATTAACAAATAATTTCTTAAATTTCAAAATTTACATTGAATCATCAACCGGAGAATTATTTAATCCCCATTAGTTTGGAAACAATTGGCTCTGAGGACCCAACTCAAGTAAAATCTGGTCTAAAGGCATTATTTTTTTAAATCTACGCGTTCTATAAATCAACTTTCATCATTGCTCGCTTCCTAGAAAATATCAGCTGTTGTCGTAACGATATATAATTCAACGTTAGATACGTTAAGTGATGGTATTGCTATCTGTCTTAGGAAAATCTCTCTCGCTCTTTGTATGGTAGGACTCTATTTTTCCAAAATAGTTAAAGTTCTTAGAAGTTCGAAATCATTAACAAATGGCTCGCGGATATTAACTGAAAGCTTTTTCGCATTACAATATGAAGGTTTCCTATTCATCAATACAAGTGAGCCTTCTTATCCTTTAAAGTTTGTCTGGGCTGTGGAAGTTTAATTGAAAACTTTGCCTGTCTTTTCTTGGCTTTCGATTCGCACGAAAGGCTTCATACAGTTCACTTAATTGTATGAAGTGAGATAAGGTGAAGTCTGTGTCTATGAGGTCTAAAACGATACCAAGAAAAAGCAAAAGACTTCTCTGCTGCTCCAATCATTTGGCATCCTATGAAGGATATGAGGTTAACCATAACCAATTCAGACAACAGAACTATTAATAGGGCAGTTAATTTAGTAAAACAAAAAGATGCATTATTGGGATATGTTCTTCGAAACTAGCATAGACTATTGGATTGTATGAGCACTATTTCGGGAACTTTTTCAGAAGAAGAATATTTTCGAAAAAAAATGTCGATTTATTTAACAACCAGTCCGGAATATTACGGTACAATAAACCCAGCAGAAAACATAACGTTCCCGGTTTTTAATACCAAGAGAGAGAGAGAGAGGAAAGAAAAGCAAATCACAACCAAATTATACGCATCCACTGTATCAGTTATAAAGAATTATATCTATTGCTAATATCAGTTCAAAATTCGAAAAAAGTCAAGTTCTTCAAGATTTCTGGAACCACATACATACATATATAGTCCGGTATAGCTAAGACTTAATATGAATAGAAGCTTTATCTTACGATTTATTGCATACTAGATAAGATAAGTTTAATCCGATCCATAGTATATTACATTCCCATCGAATAGAATCTTATAGCAAAAACTGTATTGAAATAAAATCTTGATTTTGATAGGCCAGTTTCTATGGCTCCAATCCGGACATTATAGTAGGAGATTTTACCGTTGCTTTGGGCAAAAGTTAAAAGAAAGTTTTCCATGCAAGAACTGGATTAGAATCGGTCAGTTCGCTTCGCAGTTGCATCCGAAAGTGGTGCGAAATGGGTAGATCCGACAAATGAGCAGCTTCCTCGCTAGAAAAGACTGCAAAATTTCAGATCGATATCACAACAACTGTGACATTAGTTCGGATATATATATATATATAAATTATCGCAGTCAAACTGATCATTTAAATATATACTAATAGGATCACCAACGTTTACTTCCAAAAGAGAAAAGTCAAAAATTGGTATTCCAAAAATCATAAACTTTTTCATTCATTTAGTCATCACCGAGGGTACTTTACATCTAGAGCGTCGTAATCCCATTTTATTCACACACTAACTTAAATTCACTTATATTTTTCTTTCATATCGCACTTGCGGCCCCACAGCAGTCACGACAACTGCTACTTGCTGTGGCAACAGCAACATTGCTGTCAATTCTCTGCAACGCTACAGCCACACCGATGGCGTCGAAGGCCGCAGGGCACGGGCGTACACCGGAAATGCACACTGGCCATGCCCACAAAAACATGGCCCCGGTCTATGCAAATCATGTGGGACATCAGCAGCAGCAACAACAACAACAGAAAGTCACACAGCAACAATATTACGACGTTCATTACGAACGAAATAGCAGCAGCGACAGCAATCATAACGGCATTGCTGCGCACACAGGCGCCGAGACGGCAGCGCTAAATGGAGATAGAAAAACACAGCGACGCAGTTACAATGGATTTAGCGTCAGCGGCGGTGGCAGCGGCAGCGGTGCGGGCGGTGCTGGTGCTGGTGCACATAATGACGGTGGCAGCAGTAGTTACAACTTTGGGGCAGCAAAGCTTAATGGTCTCACAAATCTCTCGGGTTTGCGGCACATTAGTAGCGGTTTTGGCGGGGCTGGCGCGACTGGTAGTGCAACTACAATCACCATTCCGGCAAAACAACACATACCAATTTATGAAGAACAGCAAGAAAATGATTATGGCACCGCCACATTGGGTGCATCCGGCGCAGCAGGACATGGTGCTGAGGGAAGGAATCAACACGGCGGCAGCAGCAGCCACGGCTGGAGCAGTAGCGGAAACAGTTATAATTCGGGCCGTTCTAGTGGCAAAGATGCGCTTAGCACCGCGCTATACAATTTACACTCAGCTGGTACGCACAATATCTTCCTGCCTTCGACCTTCGCTGGCAAATACTCATCATCGGCAGCAGGCACCACAGCATACGCGGGCACATCTACCTACCAACAAAGTCAACAGTTGCAACAGCCAAACGATAAAATCTCCGATGGCAATTTTCTACAACGTTACGGGCATAATTCCGGCGGTTACGACGAACTTACAACCTCGGCCACATACGCACATGAGCAGCAGCAACAAGCACCCATGCCAACAGCAATGCAGTACTTCATGCCACATGACAATTACGCCTCCATGCATACGGGCGGCGGGGACTCGGATATCTCATTTGGACACCATCATAGCGGCGGCAGTGGTAGCGGCGGTGACGCGGAGATAGAGGATGATGAGTCAGACGGAAAGGGTCCCTCTATCGATGACTCCCCTAATTATCTATCCGAACAACATGATGATGCTGGATCGCATGTCATCAACTACATTCCGTATAAGGTGGTGAAAAAAGTGCACGTCCCCGTGCGTGAGCCCGTACAAATACCAATCTCGCATGCAATTGTCGTACCCGTCAACAAGCCAGTACCCATTCATATACCCGTCACTAAGCATGTACCAGTGCCCGTAGAGAAAGAGTTGAGAGTCCCTGTGGAGCGCGTGGTTCCATATCCGGTCGAAAAGCCTGTGCCAGTACCCGTGGAGAAGCGTGTACCATTTAAGGTAGTTAAATATGTACCGGTGCATGTACCGCATCCATTCCCTGTCAAGGTGCCCGTTTTCAAAACCATCCTGCACAAGGTAAAGGGTGGCATGTGGTGAGCACACCGTAGTTCGGTTGCACAATTACCGTCATACATACATACTTAAATATGTATAGAATTAAATATTATGCATCAATCGACAAGACTGTTATTCCACATGTTTAAGCATACATACATACATACATACATACATGGCTATTTGTTATAAGTAATTAGCAATTTTCGAACGAAAAGAACTATATTTATTAAACGAACATTAATCCTGATAATTATTTACATATTTATATTTCACATTCCAATAAATAATTTTAAACGTGTTTGATTTAAAAATTGTATATTTTTATAATTTTGTTATTCATATTTAATGTGCTAATCGAATAAAAGTGTTGACTGCAAACATTTAAGACTGCATTTGGAATTACTTATACTTTTCACAGATCAATTTCTTTAATATTAGCTTTGAAAATTTCCGCCTTCCGCCTTTTTGTCTTTTGAATTTCGCGGCTATACATAAGGCGCTACAGAGTTCGTATCTGGCAATACTATACATCTTTGAAAGATCTTAACATAACCTACAAAACGACGCTATGCATGATTAGTTCGGATATTGCGTTCAACAGTTATAGACATATTTGAAAGTATTCCGGCGATAAAGGCAAATCCGTTAGAGAAACTCTCCGGAGATTAATGGTATTTTGGGGGATGGTACTCTATCACAACTGCGGAGTAATGGTTTCGACGACTCAGAGCCAGTGAAAATGATACCATGAATAAGCCAGCCGGCGGAAGACCTGTGGAGGAATACCGATCAAATCACGGAAAACATCGAGTTAGAACAGCATGTGGCATCTCGTGGCATCACCCAGAAGATGGGAGTTAATCATCAGAGCATTTTAAACCATCTACAGAAGACTGGATACACAAATAAGCTTCATGTTTGGGTGCCGCATGATGTGACGTGAAAAAACCCTTCTTAACCGAATCAACGCCTGCGATATGCTGCTGAAACGAAACGAACTCGAACCATTTTTGAAGCGGTTGGTGACTGGCGACGAAAAATGGACCACACACGACAATATCAAGCGAAACCCGTCGAGTTCGAAGGATGGTAAATCGTACCAAAGAGTGACCAAGGCGGGATTGAAGACGAGGTAGATTTTGAAGTGTGTTTGGTGGGATTGGAACGGAATCATCCACTCTGAGCTGCTCTCATATTACCAGGCGCTGACTTCTACCATCTGGTACGAGCAACTGGACTGCATAAAACATATCGACCAGAATCATCCAGAATTGGCAAAAAGGAAGGGTGTAGTGTTCCACCATAACAACGCCAGACCACACACTGCGTTAATGACTCGTCAGAAGAATGGGGACTCGTCCTTCACCGTTTAACCTTAGCAGCGATATGTTCCGATTCACCCACAGAGCTTCAAAAGTTTTCTTTACAAAATTTTATTGTTTCATTAGCTATAGATCGTCGTCGGCCGCCGTCGTTTTGGAACCCTTGGTTTTGTCCACATCAACATTACCTAATTCAGGTACAAAAAGTCATTAATCATTTTTAAACCTGCAAACAACGATTCGTTAGCAAAACCTTAGATAAAATAAATGAACACAACTGCAATCGTTCCGCGCAATGGCGTTTGGACTCACTCGGGTCTTCTTATATTCTACTTCACAGTAGCAACAGCATCTGCCTTGCACACTGTACTGCGTACATCAATCCATAGTGGCTCGAAATACCACCTCTAATGGACGATTATGTCAACTGACTATTGGACTCAACGCGTTATAAATCAAGTAAGAACTTTCAAAAAGATCGACCCCGAATAGCGCATTTTCTCATTGGAAACCACAAATCTAAATATAGTCAGTTAACCTGCTATTATCTTCACTGGTACAATATTGTGTTTTAGGACCAAAATGTGAAAATCTTAATAATTTTTTGTTTTGTTCAGAGAGTTCCAGAGTAGCTTAAGTGATAGAGAAGCCGACCCAGTTTAAAGCAATGCTACGCTGGAGTTATACATTGTCAATGATATCAGTATTATGTTCCGAGCTAGACATCTCTCACAATTTTTGTGAATTTGGGTAATACCCTTTCTTAGTGGTTGAGAAAGACAACTGTGAAAAGTTTATACCCATCCGTTCTATTCAATTTTGTTTGGAGCATCTGATTTTCTAGACGAAAAGCCAAGTTCCTGAAACTCCTCGCTAAACCGTTTCTATTAAAGCAGAATCTTAAGAATTTATCATAGAAATTTAATACAAGGATCTCAACTCTGTTTCCTGTGTTATGGTAAAAGCCAAACGATTGGATTACTTGTCAATTCAGACAAAAATTAAAGAAAAGACGATACATTGATTTTCATCGAAAAATCATCTTCAGCGATGAGGCTCATTTCTGGCTGAGTGGCTTCGTCAGGCAGCAATCCACACGTACTCCAAGAGTGACCATTCATCCCGAAAAAGTTACGGTTTGTTGTGGTTTATGGGCCGATGGCGTCATTGAGCTGTACTTCTTCCGTGAGAAGACCGGCATATAACTGTGAATGAGAATCGCTACCGCTCAATATAACCGAATATTTTTATCCCGACTTGGATTATATGGACTTGGACAATACTATTACCTGTGGGGCTACGTCCAGGCTATGGTCTATGCAAATAAGCCAGCGACGATTGACTAACTTCGTACGAATATCGAATATGAAATTGAAGCAGTATCGGCCGATTTATGTGTGAAAACCGTCAAAATTGGTTTCAGGTGGAAAATATTAAAAGACGCTTACAGCTGACATGTACTCGTACATATATAAAAGATTACAATTTTTAAATGCTAAGACGGTAGAAGTTTTAAAAAACAACAATTTCGCGCAGTCGAAATAGTTTTATTATTCTTATTATATCCTGAACAGGGTATATTAAGTTTGTAACACCCAGAAGGAAGCGTCGGAGACCCTATAAATTATATATATATAAATGATCAGTATGTTGCGCTGAGTCGATTTAGCCATGTCCGTCTGTCCGTCTGTCTGTATATATACGAACTAGTCCTAAGTTTCAAAGATATCGTTTTGAAATTTTGCAAACGGCATTTTCTTTCCAAAAAGCTGTTCATTTGTCGGAACTGACGATATCGGACCACTATAACATATAGCTGCCATACAAACTGATCAATCGGAAAAAAGTTCTTGTATGGAAAACTTTTGCATTTGACGTGGTATCTTCACGAAATTTGACATGTATTACTGCTTAAGGAAATAATATAATCTCCGAAAAAATTGTTCAGATCGGATTACGATAGCGTATAGCTTTCATACAAACTCGGCACATGTTTACTAAAAGAAATGTACCTGTGAAGGGTATATTAACTTCGAAGTTCACGTTTATTCTTGTTTTTATGATTTTTTTTTTTTTTATTTATATTTTTTTNTATTTTTTTTTTTTTTTGATTCAAAGACATAACTTTCAAAATAGGTAGAGCTTATTAGCCACATTCTTATTACCATCGAGTTCCATATTTACAGCCTTCAGTTAATGTCTCTTGCCGAAATTCCGCATCACGAAAGAGTCATGTTTTCGGAACTTGTGTTCCTCTAATAGTGGCACTTTACAGCAATTTGCCGTCAGAAATTCCGAAATTTTATTATTTAACTTCAAGCATGCAATCAAATGATATAACATGAGTACGAGTACATATGCCACGCAAATAAATCTACTTATGAATACATGCATCAACAACAACAACGGCCACAATACCAAAAACCATAACCTTAAAACGCTTCCACGTTTATGAGAGCGGCGAATTCTGCATTTGCATTGCGTTTTTGGCAGCCGGCGCGAGTTGTTCATTGAAATGCATGGCTTTGTTCTACAAAATTCGCGTGTATTTGTTTATTTTGTCCCGCGCACGGACATGCTAATATATGTCAGCATAAGCGAGCATATATTAAAAGAGCAAACATTATTACATATGCAAACACATATACATATTTACATATAAACATGTACAGCAATGACATTTAAGGCGCTTCACCAACGAATCATTCACGACGTACAATGCCATGCGCACGAGAGCATAAACAGACGATACATATGTGCAACGATGTGTGGATAGAGTCTTATCACCCAGCGGTAAATGCCGAATGGTGTTGAAGAGTTCATTTTTCGTTGTTCATAGGTTTCTTGGACTCCAAGTGTGGTTCAATATCTTTTTGCGGTTAAAATATCTTAGTCTAACTATGACTCCTCTATTGAAAAAATGTTTGCTCTAGATGCGCCTTCACCACTAACTATATACATATGTTATGGCTCTCAAAACTTTGATTTCTTATTTATTTAATTATACAAAATCAAACGTTTTGTCCAGAGTTCAACTGTCCACTGCAATAGCTGTTTATACCCTGAACAGGGTATATTAAGTTTGTCACGAAGTTTGTAACACCCAGAATGAAGGGTCGGAGACCCTAAAAGGTATATATATAAATGATCAGTATGTCGAGCTGAGTCAATTTAGGAATGTCCATCTGTCTGCCTGTATATATAACTAGTCCCTCAAATTTTAAAATATCGTTTTGAAACTTTGCATATGTAATTTTCTCTTCAAGAAGCTGCTCATTTGTCTGCCGATATCGGATTTATGTCCTCACGACCACTTTGAAAGCCGTGAAACCAACCGTGCACTCTGCTACGGCATAGACAATCATCGCCATAAACTTGTTTCACCAATTGAAACGTTTCGGTAAAAGTTTTACCAATTTTTAAACAAAATTTAATGTTGGCTCTTTGTTCGAAGCTCATTTCGCACAGATAACACAAACATTAAGACGTTCCTTGGTTATAAAAATTAAATATTTTATTAGAACTTTTTATTGTTACAAACATACACTATTAGCAAGTAAATTCTGAAATGTTTTGAAAAATACATTTTAAACTCGGCCATTGCGTCGTTACTTCCGGCGACGCCTCGAAAAAAATGTGCCCGCGTTTCCAGGGTAACTCCTTACAAGATCAACTACGGTGAAAAAATGCATGTTTTAGTTGAAATCTTAATTTATAACTTGGATGAAGGACAAAAAACTGAAAACTGGATTTTTGGCAGACTTTTTTACAAAAAAATTTAAATTTCATTGAAAATGTCGCGACATTTTTTTTTTTATCAGTTGTAATCCAGAAAAATTCTTCGTCCAAGTCTTTAAGGATTGTATTTCAAATACTTATTTAAAATTTCATGAAGAAATCTTGTCAACCGACTTCAAAAAGACAGTTTCGACAAAAACGCGTT